TTTGTGTTAATTAGTGTTGTGGATGTCATAGTAGACACCGAGTATTTATTTGAATGCTGTCTGTTGTTCACTGCTATGATTGCTTTGGTTTGTTTCTGCCTTTTCTGTGAGGTTCTGAGAATGTTCTAGGACACTGTGAGTTCACAAAGTAGAGACTCTGCTAGTGAGTTACAACCAAAATCCAGCCAAGAGACAGCACACCTTGCTTCACACACAAACTATGCTCAAACTTCAGTGATACGAAGAATAGAGGATAAAAACTCCAAACCACATGACCAAGTCCCACTCATAGACATCCACCCCTAAAAAAAATACAGAATTAACACAAAAACTCCCCACCTATGAAAAGTTTCAATCTATGCCGTTCCCATACCCTTTAAAAACATATAGAGCAATTAAACAAAGAAGAGCAATCCTAGAGGTTGTATTCCACATGGCCCATTATATACAATACAAATTCTGGATCAACAAGAAGGACCTCACTCTTTTGAGACCTACAGAGAAAATGGGATCCTCAAGCTCTGACGTAATATACATTGTATCAAAATCCATTAATCTTCACCAAAGAACTGTCAGGCAAATTACACTACAAAACCAAATTGGAAATACATTGAAAATTTCACAACAACTTAATATCCCAAAACACTTTGTCAAGAGAAGGCTGTGCCCTAAAAATGCCCATACATAAGAATGGAAGAGAAATCTATCACAACAGATGCACAAAAACCAACACAGGAATACAAGAAATATGAAAAGCAAGGTAACATGACACTTCCTAAGATTCATAGCTCATCAAAAACTGAACCCAAAGATATTGAAGTCAATAAAATACCAGAGAAAGATTTCAAAAGAATTATTATAAAAATGATCAATGAATTCCAAAAGACAACACACACACACAAAAAAAACTGAATTTGTAAAGGAAGTCATATAAGATATGAATGAGAAATTTAGTAAGGAAGAATTTATAACTGCTAAGCCAGCAATATGGAAAATACTTATATATTCACACAGAAAAATCAAAAACAACTCCAGAGCTCACAAATGGGCAAATCACATTGGAAGAATAGTTAAGCAAATGAGAAACAGAACCAAATTAAACAGCAGAAATAAATCAAAATGACAGTAATTAATAACTATCTCTCTGTGATAGCACTAAATGTAATTGGTCAACTCTCCAATTAAAAGACAGGCTAGCAGAATTGATTAAAAAATAAGATGCAACTATATGCTGTTTGCAAGAAGCTCATCTTATAGACAAGGACAACCACAGCCACAGACTGAAATTGAAAGGATAGAAATTGACATATCATTCAAATGAAGCCCCCAAACAAGCAGAGGTAGCTACTCTCATATCCAACACAGCAGATTTCAAGCCAAAATAAATCAGAAAAGACAATGAAGGTCACTTCTTACAGGTAAAGGGAGCAATCCAACAAGAAGATATAATTGATAGTATATACTTATGGCCCCAATATTGGTGCATCTAATTACTTAAAACAGACACTACTTGACTTAAAGACTCAGATAAACCCCATCACAATAATATTGGTCATTTCAACACACCTCTCTGAACAATAGATAGGTCATCTAGACATAAACTCAGCAAAGCCTCTTCTGACCTAATGCATATTATAAATCAAATGGACTTAAGAGGCATCTCTTGAATATTTTATCCAACAATAGCTGGGTTCACTTTCTTCTCAGCTACTCATGAAATCTTTTCTAAAATAGACTATATTTTAGGCCATAAAGTAACTCTTAGCAAATAAAAAACTCTGTATAATTCTTTCATCTTACATGAATATGTTGGAATAAAATTAGAAATCAACACTAAAAACAAACCCACAGTAACTACATAAACCCATGGAGATTGAAAAAGACACTCTGGAATGATAAATAGATGATAGAAGAAATCAGGGGAGAAATTTTTAGAATTCTTAGAATCAAAAGAGAATACAGATGCAATATCAAAGAACCTTTGCAATACTATAAAGGCAGTTCTAAGAGGAAAGTTTACAGCTATTAGTGCCTACATTAGAAAATCAGAAAGATAACAATAAAGAACCCAATGATGCATTCTCAAGGCCCTAGAATAATTTAATTTAATAATTAATATTAATTTAATAATTTAATTCCAAAAACAGTAAAAGGAATAATTAAATAATTAAAATCAGAGCCAAGAGCCAGGTACCCTGGAGCACACCTGTAATCCCAGCAGCTCAGGAGGCTGAGGCAGGAGAATTGCAAATTTGAGGCAACCTCAGCAATTTAGCAAGACCATAAGCAACTTAGTGAGACCCTGTCTCAAAAATAAAAATGAAAAAGGGCTGGGGGTATAGCTCAATGGTAAAGCACCCCAGGGTTCAATCCCCAGTACCAAATAAGTTAATTAATTAAACAAAATCAGAGATGAAATTAATTAAATAGAGAATAATAATTTTAAAAATTCAAAGGATCAATGAAACAAAGAGGTGGTTCTTTGAAAAGAAAAGCAAGATAGATAAACCCTTAGCCAAACTGCTATCATAAAACAGAGAAATCTCAAATTAATAAAATCAGAGATTAAAAAAAGGAAAAATCACCACAGACAAATATAAGCTGAAGAAAGAACAGATTTTCTAACAACAACAAAAAAGGGTACTGAGAATAGGGATTATTGATCATCAGTATGTAGAAGAAAGAGTCTAGATCCCTGTCTCTCACCCTGCATGAAAATCAACTCAAAATGTTTCAAAGACCTAGGAATTAGATGAAAAACTTTGCAACTCCTCAAAGAAAACATAGGGTCAACACTCCAACATACAGGCACAAGCAATGGCTTTCTCAATAAGACTCCTAAAGCTCAGGAAATAATACCAAGAATTAACAAGTAAGATGACATCGAATTTAAAAACTACACAACAAAAGAAACGATCAAGAATGTGAAGAGAGACCCTAGAAAATGGAAGAAAATCTCTACTATCTAGTATTCTGACAAAAGATTAATATCCAGAATATATAAAAAACTTACCAGTAAAGCCTCAAATAACCTAATTAATAATTGAACAAACTAAACAGACAATTCTCAAAAGAAGAAATAATAAATAGCCAACAAGTATATGAAAAATGTTCAACATCTTTAGCAATTAAGGAACTGTAAATCAAAATTACACTGAGACTTCATCTCATTCTAGTCAAAATGGCTGTCATCAAGAATAAAAACAATAATAAATGCTGCAATAAACATTGATGTAGCTGTGTCCCTGGAGTATGCTGATTTTAAGTCCTTTGGGTATAGACCAAGGAGTAGGATAGCTGGGTCAAGAGGTGGTTCCATTCCAAGTTTTTCAAGAAATCTCCATGCTGATTTCCAGTCCCACCAGCAGTGTATGAATGTGCCTTTTTCCCCACATCCTCGCCAACACTTATTATTGTTTGTATTCTTCATAGCTGCCATTCTGACTAGAGTGAGATGAAATCTTAAGAGTAGTTTTGATTTGCATTTCTCTAATTGCTAGAGATGTTGAACATTTTTTTCATATATTTGTTGATTGATTATATATCCTCTTCTGAGAAGTGTCTATTCAGTTCCTTGGCTTATTTATTGATTGGGTCATTTAATTTTTTGGTATTTAGTTTTTTGAGTTCTTTATATACTCTAGAGATTAGTGCTCTATCTATGATGTGCAAGTGGTAAAAATTTGCTCCCAAGCTGCACAATTCACAATAGCTAAACTGTGCAACCAACCTAGATGCCCTTCAGTAGATGAATGGATAAAGAAAATATGGTATATATACACAATGAAATATTACTCAGCAAAAAAGAGAATAGAATCATGGCATTTGCAGATAAATGGATGGAGTTAGAGAATATAATGCTAAGTGAAGTTAGCCAATCCCAAAATACCAAATGTGGAATGTTTTCTCTGATATAAGGAGGCTGATTCATAGTGGGGTTGGGAGGGGGAGCATGGGAAGATTAGACAAATTCTAAATAGAGTAAAGGAGAGGGAAGGAAACGGAGGGGACCAGGGGATAAAAAAGATGGTGGAATGAGATGGACATAATTACCCTAAGTACATGTATGAAGACATGAATGGTGTGAATGTACTTTCTATACAACCACAGATATGAAATTGTGTTCTATATGTGTAATATGAATTGTGATACATTCTGCTGTCATATATAACAAATTAGAATTTTTTAAAAATAATAAATGCTGGAGAGGATGTAGGAGAAAAGTTGGTGGGATTCTTAATTAGTACAACCACTGTGGAAATCAGTATGGAGTTACCTAAAAAAACTAAGAATGGAGCCCTCATTCCTGGTAACCCAGCTTTACCACTCCTCAGCATTTACTCTAAAGTCATCATGCGAGAGTGATACATGCACACCCATGTGTATAGGGGTACAATTCACAATAATCAAACTATGGAACCAGCCTACGTGTCTGTCAATGGATGAAAAGATAAAGAAAATGTGTTATATAAACACAGCAGAGTTTTATCAGCCATTAAGTTTTATTCAGCCCATAACCAGTAATTTGCAAGAAAATAGAGAAAGAAAGTCAAAGGTTGTATGTTTTCTCTCATAGGTGGAAGCTAGACAGGATAAGGGAAAGAAAGGTGGGAGGAATTTCATAAGAAGAAAAGAAAGATCAGTAGGTACAGGAAAGAGACCCGCAGGGAGAGGGGAGAGGAGGAAACGGGGAAATACTGGGGAACAGAATTGGCCAAATAACATTGTTATATCACATGCATATACAAACATGGAACGACAAACTCCACTGTTGCTTACAATGCACCAATAAAAAATATGGAAAAAGAAAAAACAGCAAATGTCCATTGAACATCTTCTATTGTTATGAATAGCTACAGGTCCTTTTTTGGTAGACATATAAAGCTTGACATGAGTAGAAGTTGTGCTCATTTACTTACAAAGGATAATCTTCTAATTTTTCTCCCTACCTCCCCCCACCTCTCTCTCTCTCTCTCTCTTTTTTTTTTCTTTGCCTACAGATTTACTTTGCACCAATGACAGGCTGTCAGCCAGTTTCTGCCAGACACTGAAGGTCATGAAGAAATGTTCTGTGCCCACCATCAGGGCTCAGTGCTGCGTCTCATGCCCCCAGGCACACGTCCACACCCAGAGACAAAGAAGGCAACAGTCACTCAAAAAGCCCTTCTAAGTCCAGAAGGAAGCCACCCTCCACCCTAGACTGCAGCAACCTGCTGACCGGGACATATTTGGGTCCTGGGGGCCACGTCATTGAGGTTTTGCTTTACACATTTCAGGTTCAACTTTGGGTCATAACAAAACAAAACAACTGCGTTCTTCTAGCCACAGAATGTCCCTCACAGGAAGCCTGGGACTTTCACCCTTGGTGCTCCCTGATAGGAAGGTAAAATATCTAGGAGAACCCCACATCACCTGGGATCAGCTCCTACAAAAGGTGAAAGATTAGGCAGGTGTGTGAAATGATGAGTTTTTTTCCCCCCCTTAAAGATGAAAACATACCAGGTTTTTCCCAGTCTACCTCAAAAGTGTCAGAAAAAAAGAGCCATAATTACCCAGGGAACAAATCATCTTTTAAATTCACCTTGAAGAATACATTCTCTCCCCCCACCTGCCTGGGGCAGCTGCTGTTTAAAAGGTCATGGGGAGCTTTTAGGAACATTCCTTTCATGCATCCGTCCAGGAGAGAACAGCTTTCTTTGCCCAGTGTTCCTGAGGACAGGAGGAGAGTGTGCTGACCGCATCCCTCAATCTACCCCTCAATCCCTGTAGGACTCCATAGCTGGACTGTTTAGTGTCCTGTGCCAGCCCTAAGACCCTAGACTACGAGGACACAGATATCAGCTTCAGCCTAAGGAGTTTAGGCTGGTTACACAGAACACATTCCCAACTTGAGGACAATTTCTATGCAAAAATCTTGAACTGATGTCCATCTTTCTAGCAAAAGACAGGAAATGTGAGCCCTTTATTCCTCCCACTCTCCTGGCATGTACCCATTCCTTCATAGAACAGCAAGTGAGGTTCCCTGCCTCATTTGTTCTTCCTGGTGCCTGCCTGTGTCACAAGCTCAGGTCCCAATATTGTCTTGGTGTACAAAGATCACTACAACCAGCACGAGGCTGCTACTTACCCTCACCTCCCCTAGGGCAGGAAAAAGAACCCTGCATGACAGTATTTCAAAAAACCAAGTAAATCGTATTAAGTACAAGAAATTAGTGCAAACTTTCCCCCCTTAAGTTGAAAGGGGGGAAAACTGTTCAAAGTGATGTAATGATTATCTGTGCCTCAGTGTACCCATAAGTTTACTTTTATAGGTCTTTTACTGCTAGGGATGTAGCTCAGAGGACTTAGCATACAGGAGGTCCTCAGTTTGATCCTCAGCAATTCCCAAAAAAAAATAGAATTGAAAATACCGATATTTACCTTGTGGGTAGGGGCAAGTCAGGAGAGTCCAAAAAACTGAAATGAAAGTTAAAGTTCTTATTCTGGATGTTCCTACCTTCCATCAGGTGATCAGAAGACAAGTAGGCTGTGATCTTGAATCCAGAGCAAATTTTCAGGTAAACCAATTTCTAAGGGGAGGTCCTGAACTTGGAGAGAAGGAAGGTAGAAGGAGGAGTATAAGCCCCAAGGGAAGAAGACCTCAGAACCAATTCTTGATATGGGGAGGGAGTGTGGCCTTCATGTAATGGGCAGCATATTTTCATACTCATGCACAGATACACTTAATCATGAGACACAAATCCCCTATTTCTCTTTAGTTATCTGTCCATTCAGCAGAATGGTGCTATTGAAAAATGGTGCTAATATCTAGATGGTGGCAGAACTAATATAAATAAATAGTCATACAAATGGATAGGAGTATGTGAGACTACTTCCACAGGGACATCTTCTGATAAGTGTGGAATGGGTGTTGCTGGTCAATGCCAATTCTATTGCTTAGATACCATGAACTTCACAGTTTATACTATTTGCTTTTTACTTTTCTTCAAGCCATTAGTGTATATTATTCTGATAAACTCCTGTGGAAAATAAAACACTATACTTGGGTTGAAATTCAGGATAGAACAGAACCAGGAGGAAAGTAAAAGTGTTTTCCTAAAGCCAAGGAATTTATTTCTAGGTAAATACTATGTTCTTGCATTCTCTGTCTTTTAAACATTTTAAACATTGCTGGTCGATGATTGTCTCTGGTGAAATAAGAGTTTTGAGAGAAGACACTTAAATTGTTAATGATATGAATGGAGGATAATCTGATTTTTCCTAATGAAGTAATTCACAAAAACTGTCCCTGAAGTGTATTATAGGTTTTTAAGGGAATTAATTTAGTAAGCCATATTGATTTAACTCAATCTGATACTGTAATATCATAGCATCAGATACGTGTCATCAGAGACCTGGGTATGACCAAGTTTGTAAACCTCAGGAACAAACCCAGATTCCTACTGACTTCATCAAATCAAACGAGGTCAGATTTCCCAAAACACAAAAAGGAACATGTCATTTATGACCCATGTGTAAACAAGATGGTAGACATGTGCTTGGGTAGGGGGTCTGGCCAGGTGCTCTCTTCTAGATCTTTCTCCGTTTCTCAAGGGCAGAAATTTGGCCCCTGGTCCTGAGTCTTGGACATTCACTTCCTGTACTGAGGCTGCGTGGTGGGACAGTTGTCTGTCATGCATCATGTGTCCTTGCCATGAGTTATTTTTAGTCACTCAGCTACGGGTGGTCAGCGATGAGCGTTCTGCAGGCAGATCCCTGTGCTTGCAGTAGTAAAGGGGCCTTAGATCAAC